ATTATAGGCACATCAACTTGTCGTCAAAGGTTAACAGCTGAGACTGAGAATGTTCTGCCTAGTCAGCATGTCTTTGTTGACATCGAACTGGACAATTTCTCAAGTTATGAATTGCTCTTAACTGAATTTTGGGAGCTGTGGACATTTGTGTATCTGGCTCACTGACAATCACCTTAATATTCCACACTGCTGTCCTCAGCATAAACAAGTGAACATTTTTCATTTTCATTGCTTCAGTTTAGTCTTAGTGCTGAAAGCACAGACAAAGCTTGTATTTTTATTTCTTTTATTTTGAGCTAAGTTGCTAAGTCTAGCTAGCACCTTGTTATTCTCTTCCTGTTGTGCGGAGATTTCCAGTTATATGTCCTTACACTTGATTTTCTTTCCCTCTGGGATTTCTCCAGACTGTTACCATTATTCTAATGGGAAGATAAAGATTTATGATTTTTTTTACTTGTGTTTCTTTTATTGATTTTGCATTTTTAAATCTATAATTTCCCGAGACATATTAGAGAGTTTATGGTAAAGTTACAGAGAATTCAGTATGTGCCAGCCAATTATGGCAGCCTGATTAGTTTAAATTCTTATTATTATTCTGATATGCGTGTGATCACTTACCAGTTCTCTGTATGTAATTGCGATGTTTCTCAGTATTTTATTCATCCCTTTGTCTATATTTTTAGATTAAAAAAATGATATTTGCTTTTATTATTGTTTTATGATGTCATGTTAGCCAAGACCTCTTTTACTTTCTATTACTGTATTTTTGATTTGTATAAAAAGCTTAAGTGTTCATTAGTTGAGGATTATTTGTTTTATTTTGTGTGTGTGTGTCACATATATGTGTGTGTGTCACATGTGTGTGTTCCTCTGAGCACCTGGAAGCTGGAGATCAAACTCAGGCACCGTTCCAAAGGTATATTCTATTTGTTTTTTGAACCAGGCCCCTCACTTGTTTGGAAATTCCTGATTAGCATGGTCGACTGGCCAGCCAACTCCTGGGTCCACCTGTCTCCGCCTCACCAGAGCCAGGGAACAAATTTGTGCCACCAGGCCTGGTTTTTTGTTTTTGTTTGTTTCTTTGTTTTTATGTCGATTTGGAGAAATGAACTCGTCACTCCACTGACTAAGCCATCACCCCAGCCCTGTGAGAGTTACTTTAGGATCATGGTCTCAACTTTCCCGTTTCCATGTCCTTGTCACTGTGGAGGCAGAACATGAATTCACTGTACTCCTGCCTCGGCCTCCCCAGTGCGGAGATCACGCGTGTGCATACCACAGCTGGCCTGGGTAATTTTCATTTTCAGGTTTTTAATTTAAAGCCTTGTGGGAAGCTTGGGTTTATTGCAATCAAAACTTAACACGTGAAGACTTTCTGATTTTCTCGTAAATGTGTTTAAGGATTTATTCTGGAGTGGAATCTACCCAGAGTCAATGTCAGAAAGAGGCACACTCAGCAGGAAGACAGTTTCTGAATTCTCTTTCACCTTCCTTCCTTCCTTCCTTCCTTCCTTCCTTCCTTCCTTCCTTCCTTCCTTCCTTCCTTTTTCTTTTCTTTTTTTCCATCTTTTCAAGACAGGGTCTTTCTATAATGCCGCCCTGGCTGTCCTGGAACTATCTACGTACACCAGACCAAACTGGCCTTGAACTCACAGCGATCTTCTTGCCTCACCCACCTGAGATTGGGAGTGTGTGCCACCATGCCTGGCTCTTGTGAAGTCTTCATCCCCCCTACACTAGCCCAAAGTCAAAGCGTCCGCCTTCTGGTTGGTAGTTGCATTGCAGAAGCAGTCTTCCCCTTTCGTGCCTCCCAGCTCCCCTCTGTCCTTCCCTTTCTTCTCCCCTTTCACGCCCCTTCTCATTCTGACCTTCAGGAAGGATGTTGATTGAGTGTGCTGTAAGGGCACAGTGAGCTGATGAATAGCTAGAATCCCACCTACAACTTCTTTGTTTTTGTTTTTCCAGTACTAGGGATGAAACCCAGGCCCCTGCACATGCTAGAAAACCACTCTGTGACTGAAATGTACCCCTGCTGCCTTTCTTGAGATGGGGTCTCATTTACTTCCCAGTCTGCCCTTGAGCTCAGTCTTTAGCTCAAGCAGGCCTTGAACTTATGATTAGCTAACCCCTGCAAAAATAGGTAATAGTATGTCTATGTCTTTCTTTTCTTTTTTAATTTTTATCAAACTTACATATTTGAGGAAAACCAATTAATTCCATTAAACATGTAATGAAAAAAACCCAGTTCTTCTTTCTCATTTCCACCAAACTCAACCACACCCGACCCCCTGAGGTGTGTGTCTTCAATTTCCAAACAGCGTACCTCTATCACAATTTTCTGTTTTTTTTTTTTTTTTTCAGTTTTAGGCATTGCTAGTGCCCTAGCCCATTTCCCCCTTTCTCTATCAAGACATGCACACCCACCCCCAGTACAACTCTTCATGATTTAAGACTGATCAATATTCAGTGATTAATATTATGAGCACACTAATTGAAGCAGAACCTTGTATTATATCCTGATTATGTTCTGAAACACACTGTATGGTCTGTTTTCCAGATAGTTAGTTACTCCCCCCCCCCCCCCCCCTCTTCTCCATTTCCGCTAGCAGCATAGCCACGCCTCCCCTTGTGATCGGTTTGGCTTCGTTTCGCGCCTTGTTCTAGTCTCGTTAGCTTGGCTTTCTTTCCAAATATGCAACTCCAGATTGTCTAAATCTCCTCTCAGATGATGATCCCCCTGGAATTCTGATATCTTCATCTTCCTGCCCAAGCCCACAGGCTCCTTCCTCATCTGAAGACAGTTTTTCAGTCAGGTGTCCAGTTGCCAGTTTAAACCTTTCCTCTGTCACCCCACTCCGGGGGGCTCTTGCTGTACAAGCCTGAGGACCTGACTTCGGATCGCTGGCACCTACGTGGAGAGCCAGGTATGGCAGCTCGGGTCTATGATCCCACACGAAACAGGCAGAGAAAAGAAAACCCCAGGGGCTTGCTGGTCAGGCAGCCCAGCTGAATCATTCCAAGTTCGGTGAGAGACCTTGTCACAAACAATAAGATGGAAAGTGATGGACACACGGGCACATGGCATGTTATCAGGGCTCAGACTGGCTTACACACGTCATGCATGATTCTTTCACAGCCTCGGAAGTGTGTGGAACTGGAAGAACCACCTTGAGATGCTTGAACATAAAAGCCCATGTGACCATTCTCTTTCTTTCTAGAATTTTCTTAGCTTTTCAGGGTTGCCTTCATCATTCTTCGTTTTATTTAGTTTTACCTGCATAGTTTACGAAAAAAAAATTGTTGGTGGAATGTTCTGCATGTTTTTTTCTCAGTGGCTCTGTGGGATGTCCCTATCCAGAAGAAACTTCCCAGAATCCTCTGCTTTACCAGAGAAATGTGCTCCACATCATAGCTCCAGGGTTGGTGCAGATTAAGGTCCCATGGATCTCAAGAACCGATGAAAGCAGATAGCAAAGACAGAGTGTTTATTCTTTCTTGTGTAAAAGCTCCTCATGGAACAATCCACTGAGTCCTCTCCCAACACTGAGGTCTATATTCATTCATGGGAGAAGGGAGCTAACAAGGAAAGGCGACCAAGGCGGGCTTGAAAGGCCCCAGTCCCTTAGGAATTGCATCCCTTTCTTGGGAATCCCCCCTGTGTACCTACTGGGACCCTGGAAGCTGAGGAATCCCAGAGGAGGGCCATCAGTGGCACAGGTGGGATCAGAACATGACTTTACGTAACAGCCAGGACTGAACCTTCAATGTCTAGATAGGGGATTCTAAGTAGACCCCTGGGTCTGAGGACAATTCTTTTGTCACCTTAACATTCTGAAGGATGAGTCTGGCCTCATCAACTCCTGACAGGTTTTAGAGACTTAGTTAAACTCCCACTAATTTCAGTTCTTTTTAGTTCGGTGGTGAGAAACCGCTCTGGTTCAGGTTTTGCTGACACTGTGTGGTAGACAGTTGGAAGGTTGGTCTGTACCCGCCGGCTGCTCTTTACTTGGGTGAGTTGAACAGTAGAATTGAGGGACACTCAAAACTACCCACTTCCATTCCAAAACTGGCTCTTCAGGTTCTCCAGATAGATCTCTTATCAGACTGAACCCTGGCCAAGGTTAAAGCTACCGGGTATCTCTGTGCTGTCCTGTGCAGCATGGGCAACATGACGCTGCTCCCTGGCTCCTGTGCTGCAAGGGCAGTGTGACTACAGTTTTCGACAGGAAAGACACAACTATCCACCCATTTGTTAAGAAATGTGTGATTCTTGAAAAGCGAATGCTTCTGCTTTATATAAAATTTTAGGTAATGAATGAATAGAATATCATAAACATGATGTGCAGTTAGAAATATATACTTTAGGCCATGATCATCAAATATTATGATCATCAAGACAGTTATTTGGAATATTGCTTATATTTTCATTTCAAATTATAACAGATTTTCATTTGAAATGCATGAGAATTTACTTTCCATAAATTATGAATTTTCTATGATTCCTATTAGCTTCCAAAACTGGGATTAAAAAAAAAAAAGTACACTTGGGAGGCACAGAGCAACCCAAAGACGGTTGGATCAGTGAGTATCTTAACAATAAAGCACCCCTAGTAGTTATTAGTCATTTCTTATGTTTGTGAGGGTAGCATGAATTGGCCAATATAAACCTTCCACGATTAGCAACCCCTGGATGGACTTCCCTTGGTCGTGTCCAGGCTCAGTCATTCAGCCCCTCTCTTCGCGTGGTCCCAGTCTCTCTCCAGCTTCCTCACAATGTCCCCCGTGGGAAGTGGCGGCAGTCAGAAATTTCATAGATACGTAAATTGTCAGACTTACACAGCAAGTCTTTTATCCACGGGGCAATCTCACTTGCCTAAAAATTAAAAGGGACACTTATTTAAATTTTAAAAATTAATTTTAATATTTACACATTTTAAACTAGAAGGGAATTACACAACTCTTCTTTCTCATCCCCCCCAGTACCTTCCCTCAATTCCCACCCATGTCCCCTCCACTCCAAAGCTTATAGTCTTTTTCTTTATTATTGCTACATCTGTGTGTGCATATGTATATGCATAATAGGTATCTGCACAGTATAGAAATAGAACCTGCTGAGTCCACTTTTGGTTGGTTGGGCATGTTTTCAGGGCTGACCAGTGTGTTGGATAACCAGTAAGGGAGATTGTCCCTGGAAGGGGCTGATCCTCCGTCTCTCGGCAGTCAGTGGTTGCCTGTATAGCTCTGTGTTTGGGGATGGTACCCCACGAAACTGTCCCCTTTCCATGCTCCTCCATGTTGCCGTGGTTCTGGTCTTGTTTGTGCGGCCATATCTAGGAGAGAGTTTCACAGCAAACACTTTTAGCACTCTTCTATCCCTATCCTTTATAATTATACTCCCTCTCAATAAAGCATCATTAAACTCTCATATTGTGCATTGAATGCACCCTCCAGAAAGGTTAAATATGGTTTTGGCAAATGCACTTTTTAAAAAAACCAACCCTATTTGGTTTTTCTTTTCTTTTTTTTAAATTACCTTGAGAACAACAAGAAAGTATTTTAAGTTTATAATCTCTAAAAGATAAAAGAATACTTTCTTGCTAAATGCTGGTGGCACATGCCTTTACTCCCAGCACCCAGGAGGCAGAGGTGGTCCAATCTCAGTTTGCTACACATTGAGTTCCAGAGAGCAGTCAGGGCTGCACAGAGAAACCTTGTCTCAAAAACAAGCTAAAACAAAAGGATACCTTCTTCCTTTTTGGTATGCCCGCTTTTAAAATCAAGAAACAGAGCAGAACATCCAGGATTACTCAGTTGAGTGAAATGATTCTTAATGCATTTGAGTCAACGGGTTGGGGGAAGAGCCTGTGTTGTCTTTTAAGGGTGTGTTCTGATGGGTGAGCTTAAAACAACCACGAAGCTACTGTGACAGAGTGGAATGTCCTGTTCCCAGCCAGATGACTGTGCTGTGGGGGTGGCTGGGCAGGAGTAAGTGGTTGAGCAAGCTCTATACAGGGCGATCACAGCTGAGCAGGCCGTGACCTCATCAAGCGTGGGTAGGGCTGTGCCTTCTGCCAGCCAGGCAGTGTACCCCAGTGTGGGCCGCACCCACCAGAGAAGCAGTGCTATAGGAGCTTTTCCCAGGGTCTCCTATGGTCCAGCAAACACCTTTTGATCTGTAGCTATCGTCTCCTTTAATAGTTATTTAAAATTTACTATAAGCCCCAGGCCTAACAGCTGGATGTCACAGAAGCTGAAATAAGAGCTTGACCACTATACAAAAGTGACTGTTTATGCTCTCTTGGGGACAAGATCATTTCTGCTTCTTCCATAGTTAGATACAGCAAATACTGTCTAAATGTGTTCTTAAGTTCATATTGAAAGGAAAACATTAAACTTCCTGAACTTTGAGCATTGTGGTAATTTGAATGCCATTGTCCTCCATAAACTCACAGGGAAGGGCACTATTAGGAGGTGTGGTTTTGTTGGAGGAAGTGTGTCACTGTCGGGGTGGGCTTTGAGGTTTCCTATGCTCAAGTTAACACCAGGGTCTAGTCCACTTACTGTTGTCTTCTGATCAAGACATAGCCAACGCCATGTCTGCCTACACTCCACTATGCTCTCTGTCATGATAAGAATGAACGAACCTCTGAACTGTAAGGCAGCCCCAACTAAATGGTTTCTTTATAAGAGTTGCCATGGTCATGGTGTCTCTTCACAGTGATAGAAACGTTAACAAAGACACACATGAAAGCAGAATGAAGTCTGAAACCCGTGTTTATCATAAGTGTACGTTTAGAAAGGACTGTAGGATTTGTTTCCCTCCCATCTTCTCCAGTTCCCCTCTCAACAAACTCCCCATGGTCCAATCTGAACCCCTCTCTGCTCTGCGTTCTGCGCATCCATGACTGATTCCCCTCACCACAGGTCAAAATACGTGTAACATATTGCTGTGAAGCCAGGAAGGATTTTATTTGTTGGTATTAGGCAACATTTCCTTGATGTATAAATTGGTTTGTCATACCAAGGTATGACAGTTCGAATGGCTTCTAGGCCTTTCAAGTTTGCTGACCACAGTCTACCAAGGGCAGCTAAGAAGGGAGCCCAACTTAAAACCTTCAAAGTTACCTAAACAACCATACATTATGGGTTGGTTGGTTTTTTGTTTGTTTGTTTGTTTGTTTTTACAATTCAGCATGTAGTACTCCGGTGTGAACTTTGGAGATGGCAGCTAATGCCTGCCAAAGGGCCTGGACACTCCCTCTGCCCTTCCCTTTTCCTTACAGGTTAAGGACTTGTACCTTTAAATGCTTTTAGATCTTTACTGGTTGAGGACCTATGGTGTCCGGTGGTGAGATTCTAAACACAAGTCACTCTGTGAACATTTTGATGCCATCTTCAAGGTGCTTTGGACTCTGCTTTGCTCTCCACGCTGAGAACAAGGTGGTCTCTTCCCATAGTTCTTTCCAGCTTCAGAGGAGCAGTAGAGAGCGTATGACCTAAGGACAGAGTACTAGAAATCTGAGATGTGCGACTCTTTCCCTTTGCCAACAATTTCCTTCCATGATAATGTTTTGCAAGGCTTGGTCAAGACTCAAGGAAAGCATCGATGCTCTCTTCTTGTTGTGTCCATCAGAATGTATTCATTTTGTCCACCCACTTCTTGGAGAGTAGAATGCACTGAACACTACCTTAAGCAGATGGATGTGGCTCCCATTCTGTGCTACTGAGTTAGCGTACTTCCTCAGGGAACACGGAATGTCAATCTGACAGTCACACATAGATTATTACAACTAATCATCAATCTATGTGTAGCTCATGAGATTATGGAAAATACAAAACAGCAAACGGAAATAATAGTGACAAGTCATGTTATCCCATGACTCAAGGAAAACACTCTGACGCATCTTGCTCAAGTCTGGTTCAAATAGTTGTGTGGGACTGCCTCAGTTTCTCCCTAGTTCCCTTTCCTACCCGAGAGAACTTGTGCGTTCCATCTCATTAGACGGCCTTCTACACTCTGTGACTTACGGAGTAGCCAGTAAGTCGCTCAGCATTCGGTGCCTCGAAGCCATTTCCGAATTTCTGCAAGTTTAATGTGGTGGTGGGAATATGCGTATTTCACAGACTCCACACATCTTCCCATCTGTCCTCAGAATAAACACCTACTTGAAAAGCTTTCAGTATGTGTTGCTGAGCTGTCCTCATGGCTTCTACCCATGTTTCCTCTTTCCAGCATTTTCTTTAAAAGTCTCAGGATCCTCTATTACTTTTAAATGTTTCCTGATAACTTGGTGGGAGCAAAGGGACGGGAAAAAAGAGGCTGGAGAAATGGCTTAGTAATTAAGGCCACATACAGCTCTTGCAGAAGACTGGGTTTCAGTATTAATCTTATGTTTATATGTCAGTTAAAATTAATTAAAAATAATTAAGCTATAGACATCTTAGACCATTATCTGCCTCATAATTTCTCCCCAAGTCTTTCCGCAGGCTGGATCTTTTTACTGTCCAGTCAATTATTCTGCAAGGAGAATGACATTCACTGTCATTGAGAAAGCCTGGTATTGACTTTACTCGCCAAAGGACAGAAATGACATTTTAAGCAGGAAAACGTGTTTTATTAAGAATTACCATTACAGAATAGAATTTCTACTTGGCTTACATAGATAAAGTTTTTGGAAGCTGGGAGGCCATGGCCAGTGCTCACCATTTCTCCGTGGTTACTAATCCAGATGTCCACCCTCCGTCAGCACTGCTGTATGGCACTAATTATGTCAACCTGAAAGAAGCCTTTGAGATCAAGTCCTCTGCGTGATTGTGGAACTCTTGGGAGCTGTGCTTTGTCACAGACTATGTCCTAGGAACAGGTTTTTTCCTAACCAGAAAGCATCATATATAAGGGCAAACTAGCCCCAACTCACATTTTCACTCCACTCAAAATGTGTATACTTAGGAAACATGGTTTTGTCTTAACAACGAATTTGTACCAACCTCGCAAAAGGGGCAATGTTTCTGCTGCATTATGTATATATGAGACTATGTTATATTATTGTCGTAATTTCGTATGATTCAAATTTTTTGTATAAATGGTTTTTGATTGTGAAAAAAATGTCAACAATGCTTACCATTAGAAAATGATATTGGGAAAAGGAGCTAAGAAATCTCCTTAGAGAAATCTTTTTCTTCCCCTCTAGTGGGGTCTGGCTGTGTTGCCCGGGCTGTGCTACTGGAACTCATAGGCTCAAGTGTTGATCCTGCCTCAGCCTCCCCGGCAGCTGATCAACAGGTGGACACCTCTGCACCTGACTTTGATGTCCAAATTTTGTTTTGCATCACTTTATTAGAATTGCCTTTATTTTGGTGTTAATTTACTTCAAACAGGTTTTGCTTTGGCATTTATTTGTGTGTGTGTGTGTGTGTGTGTGTGTGTGTGTGTATGTGTTCCTGTGTGGGAGGGTGCATGTGCAGGAGTGTGTGCAAGCATGTTGGTATCTTCCTAGGTCGCTCTCCACCTTATTTTTAGAAACAGAATCTCTTGCCAAAGTTAGAGCTCCCTGATTTGTTTCGCCTGACCGGCCACCAAGCCCTGAAGAGCCCTCTGTGCAATCCCAGCGCTAGGGTTACAGGTGTACACGGCCACATCCACTGTTTCTATAGGGGCTCAAGATCAAACAGATCCTCTGAGCCATCCACCCAGCACCTTTACAGCATTAGTTTTATTTATTTATATATCTGTTTACTTATTTATTCATTTAAGACAGGGTCTCACTACGTAGCCCTGGCAAGGGATGGAACTCACCATGTAAACCAGGCTAGCCTCAAATTTATAGAGATATACCAGTCTTTGCCTTTGGATCAAAGGTGTGCACCGCCATGCTCACTCATCTCTTTTGGTTTTATTTCGTATGTGTGTCTGTCTGTCTATCTCTGAGTGCAGTTGATCATGAAGGCCAGGAGAGAGTATTGGATCACCTGAGTTATGGGTAGTTGTGAACCAGCAGACATGAGTGCAGAGAACTGAACTCAGGTCCTCAGCCAGGGCAGAACCTCACCCTTAACCACTGAGTCATCATCTCTCGTGCAGCCTGTGACGTCAAGTGTACTTTACTTTTTTTTGTTTTGTAACTCTGACTGTCCTGGAACTCACTCTGAAGACCCGGTTGGCCTCAAAACTCAGAGATCCACCTGCCTCTGCTTCAAAATGCTGGGATTAGAGTTGTAGCCACCATGCAGACTAAATAAGCCAACTTAACTTTTAAGAGTTGTTCTAAAGTACAAGGGAGGGATGTTTAACAGTGACAGGGAAAAAAATTGAGAAAAATTAGTGTCTGTCACAAAGCCTAGTACATTGTCTTTATTAAATAGTTTGCAAACATTTCTGGTCCCCCTTCCCCTTGTATCTGTGTGTCTAATTTATTTATTTATTTATTTATTTATTTATTTATTTATTTATTTATTTTCTTCGAGACAGAGTTTCTCTGTGTAACTGCTCTGGTTGTCCTAGAACTCACTTTGTAGATACAACTGGCCTAGAACTCAAAGAGATCCTCTTGCCTCTGCCTCCCCAGTGCTGGGAATAAAGGTGTGCACCACCACCACCAAGGCTCATGTGTCTAATTCTTGATGGAGAAACAAGAAATAAGAAAAAAAGTTAATTCCCAAAGCAATCTAAACTTTTAAATTAGTGGCTGAGTTGAGGGTGCCTGTGTCTTTGGAGTACATTGTGTAGAGGCTGTGAAATACAGCCAAGAGCCTGAGTCTGAGCCGTATGTCTCGACTTGTATGTGAAATGGCACGGGCCACTGAGCCCCTTGATGCACCCAGGGAAAAGGAATGAGTAGCACTGAGGTTCAGTCCCTCTTATTGAAAAGATCTGACTGTCGCTAGAGGATTCTGACTGCTGTCTCTACTTGTAGGCAAAATGAAGGATCGGCTCGCAGAGCTTCTGGAGTTGTCTAGGAGCTATGACCAGCAATTCCCAGACGGGGGCGATGACTTTGACGCTCCCCACGAGGACATCGTGTTCGAGACCGACCACATCCTGAAGTCCTTGTACGGGGTCATCCAGGACATCCAGGATGAAAACCAACTGCTGATGGTGGACGTGAAGCGCCTGGGGAGGCAGAACGTCCGCTTCCTCACGTCCATGCGACGCCTCAGCAGCATCAAGCGAGACACCAACTCCATCGCCAAGGCCATTAAGACCCGGGGCGAGGGCATCCACCAGAAGCTTCGCTCCATGAAGGAGCTGAGCGAGCAGGCAGAGGCCCGGCACGGCTCGCAATCGGCGGTGGCACGCATCTCGCAAGCGCAATACAGCGCGCTGGCCCGCGCCTTCCAGCAGGCCATGTACGAGTACAACCAGGCTGAGATGAAACAGCGCGACAACTGCAAGATCCGCATCCAGCGGCAGCTGGAGATCATGGGCAAGGACGTGTCGGGCGAGCAGATCGAGGACATGTTCGAACAGGGCAAGTGGGACGTGTTCTCAGAGAACCTGCTGGCCGATGTGAAGGGCGCGCGGGCTGCGCTCAACGAGATCGAGAGCCGCCACCGCGAGCTGCTGCGGCTGGAGGGTCGCATCCGCGACGTGCACGAGCTCTTCCTGCAGATGGCTGTGCTGGTGGAGAAGCAGGCGGACACGCTGAATGTCATCGAGCTCAACGTGCAGAAGACCCTCGACTACACGGGCGAGGCCAAGGCGCAGGTGCGCAAGGCGGTGCAGTACAAGAAGAAGAACCCCTGCAGGACCATCTGCTGCTTCTGCTGCCCCTGCGTCAACTAGCAGCTGGTTTGGACCTTCACCACCTGTGCCCTGAGGGAAATGTGTTCAGGATGCCAGCCAAAGGCATCCCGCACTGGGCCAATGGAGAGGGTCCCAATGCCTGCAGAATTCAGAGCATAAAGAAAGAACGTTGGGGTCAGGAGGCAAGATTTGGGATCTGGCACTTGCCTAGAAAGATGGTTGTTAGTTAGCATCCTATGGTTCGTTAATGCAGGCAGATTACCAATGGAGTTGTGTGGCGTCATTATAAGATACCTAGCACTCAGCATCACAGGGAGGCGCTAATGCCGTTACTAAGGTCAATTTCATGAAGACTAAAAGAGGAAGTCCAATTACTATATACATAATAGTATGAGCACATTGTCAAAATTCGTCTTCGTTTATCTTCTCTGGAAAGTTCCTTGGTGCTATTCGATTTTGAGTGACATTCACTTGAGTATTTCTTAGTTCAATTTCGAGTAGCATTGACCTGTGGAAAACTGGATTTCATTCACTTCTGATTATTTATTTATTTTGTGTGAGCCTTGCCTATGTGGAAACCTTCCCTCGGTTCTCTTCTGCCACTTATTAAACCACACCGAACATACACGGTTTCCTTATTTCTCACACCTTCTGTACCTCCCGCCAGAATATATATGCACATACACGCACGTCCATATATTTGTATATATTCATATATATGAATAATTTTTGAAATATTTTAAGCACCAAATATTGAACAATCACTCAAATCGAACTTTTTTATCACTCACGTTTTATATTTTTCCACAGATAACATTTATTTAAAATTTATCTTTGTACTGAATTTCATACGATATATGTTTATATTGTAAACTAATATCCACTCATTTTTGTACATAATGGCCAGCTGGATTAACTTTGCTTTGGGAAATTCTGTATTTAAATAATAAGAACACTGTTTGGTCAGTGCCAAGTATCGCTTTGACTGTCGTGAGTGTATTTCATCCCCGACTGCATGGCCCACCGTGGGTCAGACTTTATTTTGAACAACTGTATGCTGCCATTCGTGCAGATAAGTGGGAAAAACATGCGACACTATCAGAGGTACTAAAATGACGTTCTTGGGAATAATAATTCATCTTACTATGAACCTTTCCTTGCATGTGTTAAAGCAGAGAGCCTTAAAGTGAAACATTTTTTTCAAATAAGCGTAGTCCACATGACACTATAGCTATCTTTTTTCTATATTTACATCATGACCTATTGAAGATAACTTATTTTTTTTCAACTATTTTTTAAATTATGGTTAACCCCCCCCCCCAAACCCCACTCCCTACCCCACCGCCGCTAACTACAGTGTGTGCATGGAACTCTCAACAAACGCATTTCCGTCAGGGCGCTCCGAGTTAACAGTAGTTTTACACTCAACTAGGTGGTGAAACTTTTTCAGGTTTTAGAGATTTGCTTTCACTTCAAAACTCGGAGGTGACATTCCAGACCATGATCACACATCCCTCCCGTATGTCTTCTGAACCGACTCTGAGTGCCTCTTACACATTCTTAAATACAGGAGTGATTTTAGTTGGGAGTTGTCTATCTTGAGCTCTAAGGAGGAAGACAGTTTTATTTTTACTTGTTTGTTTGTTTTCAAGACAGGGTTTCTCTGTGTAACAACCCTGGCTGACCTTGAACGTGCTTTGATACCAGGCTGACCTTGAACTCACAAAGATCCTCCTGCCTCTGCCTCCTGAGTGCAGGGAGTAAAGGCAGGTGCCACCACTACCCAACAAAGGTAAAGTTTTAAAAGAGAAAAGGAGCAGGAGCGCTTTGGGGCTTGCTGGTCTATGAGCAAGAAAAACTAGCCCTGTGAGTAATTTCACTTTGATAGTTCAGTATGAGAACCATACAATCTGAGCCCCACCTGGTTCTTCTTAAACTTGCCCAGTTTCTTTATCACTACTGGGATGTTCCCTTTCTCTAACGAAGAGGGGGAAGTGTCCACATGGGCCCAAGGCCCGAGTTTTTATTGTAGAGAAAAGAGTCTGTCTATAGAGACTAGCTATTCTTTGCAAGAAGGAACAGTCCATAAATTTAACTTGTTTGAACTCTGAAAGAACTTTCTTTCTTTCTCTCTTTCTCCCTTCCTTCCTTCTGTCCTTCCCTTTTTCCTTCTCTTTCTCCCATTTTTAGAACCATTATGCAAGTAAATAACTTTCTGTGTCTGCATAATTTTTTTTCTGAGACAGAGTCTCACTCTATAGTCCCAGCTGGCTTGGTACTCACTATGTAGGCCAGGCTGGTCTTAAACTCACAGAAATATCTTCCTGCCTCTGCCTCCTGAGTGCTGAGAATAAAGTAATGTTCCACTGAACCTGGGTAGAGCACTTTTTTCCTAATTAATCCTAATGATAAAGCAGTTTTCACCGTGATAACTATTCTAATCCTGTTTTCTTCTAGTCGACTGTGCTGTTCCGTTCCGTTCTGGTATTCTATTCTATTCTGATGGATCTGTTCCATCCTAATCTATTCTAATGGCTCTATTCCATTCTCTTCTTCTCCTATTTCAATATATTCTATCCCATCCCGACAGATCTGTTCCATTTCATTCTACTTCTATTCTATCCTAATCATATCCACAAGAAATCAGTTAAACACGGTTTGGCAAGGACTTGTCCCTGGGGTTCTTCCCAACACATGAGTCATAGACTCCATGAGGAGCTCTCTGGAAAGAGATCAAGGCTGGAGCACAGACCTCAGAGGAAGACATCAGTTACCTCTCCCATATCCTCCATAACACCCCCAGGCTGCCCAGGAACTGTCAGTGAAATGCCAGCTTTGCCTTTGGAAAGGGTGCTCAGTCCCTGAGAGATGCTACGGGGTTAGTTCCTCCCCCTTGATATTCACTTGGCAGACTCTGAAAGGTGACACTGAACAAGACCTTACGGTGATGCTACAAACTTCAAACACTAGTGCCATGTTGTGCATAAGAGAAGAATACGGTCGCAATGAAACATCTTAAGAGCAGAAGATGGGCCCAGTGAGATTCTCAGCAGGTAAAAGGACTTACTCACCTCAGAGTTTGGCGACAGGAGCTCCATTCCTAGAGCCCACCTGGCAGAGAAGAACTGACTCCTATGGGGAGTCTATGTATATATGTGT